TGTTTTTCTTGAATGGTGTGTACACCTATTGCTTGTGGGTTATGTTGGCGGGGTGGCACAGAGGATCTCGAGAACGTGGTTCAATAACAAATGCCGGTTTGTAAAAATATAAATTTATTACAAAGATCTGAGTTATGCCTTGAGGCGTTAAATAAAATTGAGAGGATACAAATAAAAAAAGATAAATAATTCTCGTACCGTTTATCATTATATCAACTACAAAAAATGACTTTCAATAATTTTATCCTGCCGTCCAAACAATTGTTTAGTTGGTGCAACGTTGCTGGCTTAAAATCAAAAGACTAATTTTATTCCAATACTAATTTACAAATTTAGGATTTAGTTGAATCCTACTTATCATTGAGCGAAAGAAGACTCGCATTAACTCATTATAAAATGACTGAGTCTGAATAATTCCTGCTTCAATCGTGGACCCGTAACAAAAAAAATAATTTTTTAAAAACTTGAGCACACTCGTATATTTTTCGAGAACAAGGAGAAAACTGAATACGCACCGGAATCACGGCAATTTCTTATTAAATCATTCTTAATAAAAATAATGGAAACAGTACGTTCTTAGTGACTAAAGTAAAGCACTTAGCGACTTTCTGCAACACACGCTTAAAACAATATTTATATAAATTAAACCTCGCTCAGCACCTAGGGTGACGTTTAGTTGTCGAAACTAGTATTAAACTTATTTTAATGAATAAACAAACTGAATGACACACTGAATCACAAAGCCGCCTTTAAGATACCAATTCCTTTGGTATATTCAACAAGAGGAGGTCTTACACTCCGTCAAGACTGACTTACTTCAGCGTGCTCTGGAATTAAACGATATTACATCAAGTTCGCGCGGAAAACAAGTATTTCGATTTCCGGAAGGTAATCGAAGCACGAACGAGCAAGTGATTCCCCGATCAAAAAGAAAATAGAGAGACTCTATTAGGCTGAGCGAAAAAGCAACAGGAATATTTACTTCAGAGATACGCAAGAAATAACGAAGCATTCATACACTAGGTAAATCACTCCCAATACCCTCGTGATGTCGAGCCAAGGTCTGCCGATTCAAATCGTATGACGATAGAAGGACTTACGCCCTCGATCGCTCTTCACCCTCGTCCACGAAGGTTACCACGGAAGACTGTGGGGAAAGTACTCACGCTTTTCCCTGCTTTCTTATCCAACGTCCAACCTGGAGCCCCTTCCGACTTATTCTGCCCGTCTCGTTCACTTTTTCGAGCCCCTTTCTGTTCCCTGCCTTTGGCGCTCGAGCCCTTCCAATTTTACTAGCGTCGGTGTGCATTCATTGACTCACTCGTCAAACGCGCATCATAGTCTAGCGTCGGGCACGCCCATGGCCACGACTTCTACTCAACGGCATAAGACTCAACGAGACAAGGACATTAAAAAAAATAAAACTCCTTCCCACTGTAAAAAAAATGTTCAATATAAAAAAGTATTTTTCTTTGAGATCTATAACTTTTGCATGTGACACTTTGTTGTAGATTGTGAATTTTTTTGCCATAGCCAAAATACGAGTTTTTAGCTATTTTTTCACTTTTTTTGAATTAACGTGCATTTTCTTTACTTATATATAGTAACACTTTTTGCTTTGGTCTAAATATAAGGTATTTCTGTAAAACAGATGTGGTTAAAAAGTAAGGCCAAGTAACACAAATTTTCAAAGTTTTTCATAATTAAATTATGAAATTTTATAGTCAACACTGTACCGATAAATGATTTTAATAATTATGGATACTCAGCTGTCAAAAAAAACAGAAAATGAAACCTTACATTTAAGTTCTTATGAAAAATGCATTACGCTCGTCGTTTGTGACAAATCACATGAAGAATACTATTTGACATCCTGCAATAAATGTCCAGGTGTGGAAAAGTTAAAACTTTATTTAGAAGAAATATTTGAGGATATCACAGAAAACATTAAATATAAGTAGTGGATGATACAACCAAGGGCTATTTCAGAATCCTTGACAAATAACGCATGTGAGTTCATAAAACCGTTTTTAAAAAAGTTTCAAAAATTTTGCCATATGCTTTTATAGCTATGAAACAGTCGCAGTACTTACGACTCGTGAAGAAAAACCTATTAACTAGTAAGTTCGTAGTTTTAGCAGATTTTGCGGAGAACTGTGCATTTACCATGCAGAATGCTGCTCCAGGAATTCGCTGGAATAATGATCAGGCTACAATATAGAAAGTTGTAGTATATTTGAAAGATAAATAATTCGTCAAATCATTATAGTATGGTCATCATTTCGAATATTTGTACTATGATGCACTATTTGTCTACGCTTAACATGCTATTGTGATAAATTATTTTTTTTTAAAGTGGTACGGTAAATAAAATTTACTGCTTCAAGGATAATACTCCACAGCAATACAAAACTTACAAAATGTGATTAATTTGGCCAATGAAAAGAACGATTAGGATGTAAATGTAGAGTGGAACTTTTTTCCTACTGCCCACGGAAAAGGTCCCTAAGACGGTCTAGAAGCCACTGTAAAATGCAGTGCTGTGCGAGCTAGTCTCCAGTTGACAAACGTTTTAACAACTAATAATCTATTAAACTGATTAAAGAATACACAAAGATTGCTGATTATTCGTTTCGAATACTTGGATCCAAAATTTAAAGATTTTTTTCTGAATATGTGACAATATTTAGTGTAGAAGATAAAACTCTAATTTTGTGTTGTATTGTAAAATTGTGTCATCTAACAACAAAAAAAAAAAAAAGGTAATAGTAGCCAAAAATAGTTTGTCACGTCTAGAAAAAAACTCAAGAGTCAGACAAAAAAGTTTAATGGGTAAAAAAGATGCGCCATTTTAAGACGAAGAAAATAAGCTCCGATGGGATAAAATCGGTCTAGCAGTTTTTTCGCAATTTGCAAAAAAGTGCTAGGTAGTACCGTTTTTTGAAAAATCTATAATTTGCGTTCCTTTAAATATTAAGACTTGAAAATTAAATACAAAGTATATAATGTGTCTCTCAACATCCACACTAAATTTCAAGACGATCGGTTGCAAACTTTTTGCAAACCAGCAAAAAATGGTTCCTCCACAAAAAAGTTAGACGTTGCTGGTTTTTTAACATATTGCCATTTTTTAAGCGGCATTGTACTCATAGAGAGTTATCCTACAACCTACCAAAACATCGTTCCGTTTGATATTCCAGAAGTGCGCTAAAAATCGATGTCAAAAAACAGCGATTTTCCGTGGGTGCGGCGCGGAGGAGCCGCTCGCGAACCCCAGAGCTATGATGCGGGAGCACGGTCTACAGCGGCGGCTCGTCATGCCACCGCATCCACGTAAAATAGCCGGTTTTTTATATAACTTTGTTGCGTACTTTCAAGATGTCAAACGGAACGACATGTTGGTATGTTGTAAAGTAACTCTTTACGAGTATAATGCCGTTTGAAAAATGGCAATATGTTGAAAAACCAGCCACGTCCAAATTTTTTGTGGAGGGACCATTTTTTGCTTCTTGCAACGGTTTGCAAAAAGTTTGCAACCGATTGTCTTGAAATTTGGTATGAATGTTGAGAGACACAAGATATATCTTGTATTCAAGTTTCAAGTCTTAATGTTTAAAATAACGCGAATTATAGATTTTTTTAAAAACGGTCTTAGGTAGCTTTTTTTTTGCAAATTGCGGAAAACCCGCGAGACCAATTTCATCCCATCGGAGCTTATTTTCTTCGTCTTGGAATTGTGCGTCTTTTTTACCCGTATAATTTTTGTGTCCAACTCTCAAGTTTTTTTCTAGACGCGGAAAACCATTTTTGGCCTCTATTACTTTTTTTGTGTTGTTAGCTGACAAAATTTGGAGTCCAAAGCTATTTAGATTTGTTCTAAGACCGCTTAAGTATCACCCAGATTTTTTTTTGCGTTAGAAGCAACTTTTCGAAAATAACCATGCGTTTTTGCTAATTCTTTCCTACTAAAAGAGGTGAATTTGTAATACGGATCGCTTTTAGCAGAGATAGGGTACTTAGCTAGAATGCAGATGATCACTGGTTCAATTTCGAGGAAAATGTTTTTTTTTGTTTATGGAATAATTAGGTGTACAGCAAGGAATAAAAATCTAAAAATGTTCTTTGAAAACATCAGTTTTAAAAATCTGAAATTCCAATTGTACATATTTTTCTATTACATTAAATTGAAAGACTCTTCTTTTAATGGGGGAGGGTGCACAGAGCGCGCCAAGGGTTGAGCCCCACTACTTGATACATTTATAACACAGCTGTAAGGATTTAGATGATCGCTTAGCCCCCTTATCCAGCTTTATCCATCTTTATCCACCCATTGCCGCTTCTCTTACAATTGTCTAATTGACATATTTTGGCTCACTTTGGCACCCCCACCCACCCCTATTTATACGATCTAACTCTACCCAGCTCTTTGCCACTGCTTTGTCGCCTCTATATCACACCGTTAAATTTCCTTACCACTGAATAGTAAAATGTAATGAAGAACAGTATAATAATACAACATTACAATTATACTTTCCTAATTAATTTTACTCTCAAGGTACTGTAAAGGCACACTAGATTTAAAAAAAAAATTACGTGAAAGTTGTGGAGGCTATTACAATATTCTTATAAAACAGTATTAATAATATAATAAAGATTAGGCAATTATACATAGTATAATGTGAGGAATTTTGATGGAAATGATGGATATTTGTATAAAAATGTCGCTAGAAGTACCACTAAAAAAAAATTTCATGAGCTCATAATTTCTTTCTATATTATTTATTTCTAAGGATTTTAATAGTCGCAAGGATGCCCTATTTATCCTTGAACTCTGCTATATCTTTTGTATCCACACAATTGCAGTTAAAATTTTTAAAAGCCAAATACAACTTTATTTAAAAAATATCGATCAAATATTTTTTTCCAAACAGTATTTTTTTACTTATTTGGAGCATGCAGAGGAGGATGAGCGGAATCCCACTGATATATACATGACTTACTTGAATTATGTGTTATTGGCTTATCGTCATGGAAAAATTAGAACAAATTCCAGCAACATTTTTGACTTCTGTAAAATATAAAACGTCCAAGTTAGAATACCCAAATTCCATGCTTGCGTTTGTAAAATCGTTTTTTTAAGCAATATTAAACTTGTCATATTTGGTTCCTTTCATTTAAACACCATTCAAGTCATAAACAAAATTTTTCTTAGTTTTTTAAAACACATTAAAATGCCGTTCATATGTCATAACGGCTAAATAATTAATGTATCGATTGAGTGGAGGGAAAGGGCTTGCTAAGACAGCAAAATATTTTTTTAATAAATTAACATGAAAAATAAATCACTGAGTCTTGGTACAAAAAAATTACCATGTATAGTAGACCTAACGAAAAGATATTTTCATACAGATCCAGAATTGGTAATCGAGAACGCTTTCATACAATTGTGGTAACACTTCACACGTGGAACCAATGATCAAGCCTGACCATTCATCGGTGTACATCAGTTAAATAACTATTAATATGTACTTAAGTCGCGAGAAAACAATTGAATACAAATTTAATATTACACTGTATTTCAGATAGAATGAGTCGAAACCCTTGGTAATAAAACCATCTCTTCGGTTATCATAATTCTTAATAAATAATTTTCATAAAATTTTTTGAGGAGGTTCAATCCCTTGCTATAATCCATGTGACGCTAACAATAGTTTAGTATGTCATCTGTCTTTCTCCCTCTCCAGTGACTTCATAACCTTTTGTAGTTGTTACCTCGGTTATTAATTAATTTTTCCGTTTAAAAGGACCCTCGAGATGTTCAATAAAATTAAATGCGATCATTAGATATTTTCTTACCACTGACACAATTTTTATTGAAAAAAGGATTAGAAAAATCTGACTTACTAGATGTTCTCCAGACAGCACTTCCAAAAGTGAAATAAGGTTGTGACCATCCCGAAGATCCTGGAATAAATCTGCTACATGTTTACTTGTCTGCAATAAAAATAATATTCAGTTAATGGTACTATTTATTTGTAAATTCAAGATTAGATGTATTTTAAAGGTTAGATGCAAATACTCATTCAAACGTTTTTCTATAAAGGCATTTATACCTCAATATAATGACGCTATTATTTTGAGTCTGACATAAAAATTCAAAATCTTTTGTTTTCTCACATCTTAGAAGTACGTGAATGAATCTTTTAATCCAATCGTTTACGTCATCCTACAAATTTAGGTTACACTTTATTATCTTAGAGTCTTTAGTATTTAATAATAATCCTTCTGTCATCCGAATGACTAAGATTAGTTTAAAATACCTATTAAAATAAATGAAATTCAATAAAAATTTAGAAAATTAAAGAATATGGTTGTTTGTGTATTTTTTTAAAAGCTAGATCTATTAAATAATGTACCCTCGTTATAAAATTATGGTATAAGTTCTGAAAATCTTAAGACATAAGGAATCATGTAATTTATAAAATACATTTTTTGTCATTATAAAATTCTGCATGTACTGCATGCAGTCCAAAATTCCGTTTTAAAAAAAATATACATATTCAAAAACAGAATCGTATCAAACTTTTTCTCTAACAAAACCAGTAGACAGTGGTTGCTTGGGTACACAAGTGGGAAATTAAACTTTTGTAACATTCAATGAAAAACAATGTATGAATGTAAGTTTATCTTCTACGAAACGATATCACATACTAAGGTGATTTAATTATCGTTGGAATGAGTGTATATACAGTAATTGGATATGGTTTCAACGTAATATTTCTTTATTTTATAAATTAAAAATTTTTTAGAATATATTACGTAGTTAGAAAAGTAAGAAATGGAGCCATGACACAACGTACTGCCAGGCTGATCAGTGTAAGAGTACCTCCTATAATTGACTCTTTCGATTATCATTTCAAAACAACTACCTATTCTGATAACATTTCTAATATCACGCTCGCATCTGTCATATACGTTGACACACTTAAAAGAGAGAAAAAGAGAAAAAACTCTTTCTCACAAATCATTTTTATCTTCTAATCTTTTGATTTTTTATTTGCTACAAATACTAAACCTCCTACAGTTATAGACCTACCAAAAGTTACTTTTCTGCAAAGCTTGCAAACATGCTTAGGACCAAGATTTTCAAACCTGTTGAAGCTGGTGTAATATAGACTTCCAGCGTTGAAAAGTATAGTACAAGTAAAAGTATACTACTATGAAATCAAGTGCCTCCTTGCCTTTCAGGAGATTGAGGTGATATATTACGGATTGTACAACTAACTTCCATAAGCCACTCAAGTGTGGTGCTTAAAGTCTGACGAATGAAAAAAAAAAAAACCAAGGACACGCGTGGAGAAATTGAATGAGTGGGAAAATTGAAAAAAATATGTATTGGAGGCAATGATTGAAAAATTAAAAAAAATAAGCTTAGTAACAGACCTGTTGGATTGAAGAATAGGCAGTAAAGAAGGAGACAACTAGAAAATCTGTAATATGATAAAGAACAGAATAAGTGAAAAAAACTCTATCTTGAATTCAGAAATGAATGGTATGAGCTGTGTCATGTGAAGGAATATCTTTAAAAAAAAATATGAAAGAAACACTCTGGTTAATATTAAATACGAAGGAAAAGTATGGAGTTTACGAATTTAGTATAATAGAAAAAGAGAAGAAGAAAGAAAGAATATTAATTTGAACAGATGAAAGAAATATTTTGACAATCTACTGGGAAGGATTCAGGAATAACTGAAATAGAGTGAGACATGGACAGGTCACATTGCTGGGAAAAAAAAATATATTAAGAATAGACAGAATTCAAGGAGAGGTACAAAAATTCGCAAAAAATGTTGTAAGAAAAAATCTAAAAGCAATTATTACAATTGTTTGGGAGGGGGCAGAAATATCGCATGATTTGAGAGTGGTAGAAAAAAAAGGGACAAAAATAACTCGGGAAATTTAGTCAAAAATACAGAGGGCAAAGTGAATAATGAAAAATTATTCGCAAAGATGATAGATTTTGAAGCCACTTTTGATACAGTTGATAAGAATATTATGTGTTTTAAGAAAATTTACGTTAAAATAAAAGTGAGGGTTAAAAGCAAAGATGGACATGAAAATAGAAGAGCTTAAAAAAAAAGATAAGTGAGTGTAAGCAGCGAAAAATAACGTAAGTAAATAAATAAATTTAATGTGATAAGCATATGTAATTCTCGTTAAATAGCCTAAATAGTATGTGTAAAAATAGGTGATGTGTAAAGTGCAACGTAATTATTAATATGGCTAGTGATAAGAATATAAGAATACTTTATTTTACCTCCTATTAAACAACTATTTCAAAGTGACAGGATTTAGTTTTAATAGCTTACTCAAGTTGAGTATCGTTTTATCTGTTTCATTAGAAAAAAAAATTGAAAATTCGGACGAAAAATGCAATCTTTAATGTAAATACATCTTTAAGAAGCAAGCAATTTGCATCTCAGATATCTGAAGGAGTGTAAAAGGACCTTTAAACACTTAACCAATTGTAAAATGCAAAAAGGGCTGCTGAGAAAACGAGTGTGTTAACAAACTAGCAAACTACTTTTGTCGTACTTTACTACTTCTTCACCAATCTTCGACCTTTTGTTTATGGTTTTTAAAACTTATATAAAAAAAAATATCAAAGTAAATGAAGCAACTTTTAAAAGCTTGGGAAAGTCTAAATATTTATTATACAAATCCCATATGGCAAGTTTTTTAATAACGTTATTTATTTTTCAAGTGTTCTCCTCACTATCTTTAGATTTCTTTTTCAGCTTCTTAAAATCAAAAAGAGTAAGTAGCTTTGGGTTTGTATGAGATAACTGGGAATTTTTACTAAAGTATAAACTAAGAGTCTTTAATATAATTAGTTTGCTCATTGAAGTTAAGATATTGATTTAAATTTAATCATTTGTTTGAATCTTCTGATAAAAAACATCAGTGTAAGCTCCCTGGTGAGCATCAGCGAGACTATGTAATTCAGTTTTAACTACTTCAGGGGTATAGCGATTCCATCTGGCAAATATTATTCGTTCTACACCTTCAATTTCTCATAATTAACATAACCATTCGTCTCAAACTACTTTTGGAAAGGGGTGTCTAAATCTAACTCAAGTGTTAAAAGTTTCTGAAATAGGATGTTTGACTTTATAAGGACTAGTGAGAATCCTTCCAAAATGTTCAAGATTTTCTCTTTTGTCATGGCATTAAACACTTCGTCCAGACTTCAAGAGCTTCTTGATCTTAATCTTAATCTTAATCTTAATCTGAAAAGCCGCCTATCATCCACCAGTCTCAGAGTATGCCAGAAACTTGCGTCATTTGATTGGACTTGATCTAGCTGATCTGTAATTTACAATCTCCAACAAAATTTATCTCTTACTGAGAGCGGAGATTCACACCCTTGTCGTTAAATCATATACAAGACGGGGAGGATCAAAGAAATCGATAGGTACGACAACTGCTCTAGGTTGGTTGGTCTCAGGTTCCATCATTCATGATTTCTCCAAACTAGAGGTTAGTTCACAGCATTGCGTCACTAACAAAGAGCTGATTTAGGTACTGACTCACAGTTTTTACGCTGACACCGTTAGTAGACAGAGCTACGTTATCTATGGTCGCTACATTGTCCAATTGCCGTTCATAGAGGACCCTGACTGATACGTCTAAGCCCTATTGGACTCTTATGCTCCAGCTGTAGCGATTTAGTCTGCGATGGAAAGAGATTACCAGAAATGCGGAATTAAAGATAGCCTACCAGAAGTTTATAGACAAGTACCTGGATTTAAGTCACATGAGGCTGAATCCAAACTAACAAGCTGGTTCCTACCACACTATAGGGTCCTCAAGGCTTTCAGCACGAATTTTAAATAACGAACTGTCTCTAATGGACCCATTAAAACCAGTAAGAAATTATCATTGAACAACCTACTTCACGTTAGGCCAAACCTTCTGCCTAACTTATATCATTTAGTCTTACGCTGGCGCATTCATGAGATCGCT